AGAGCCTCAAGCTGTCCCCCTGGGTAGAGTGCTGTGGCATCACAGCTCACAGCAACCTCCAACTCCTGGGCTCAAGTGAGTCTCTTGCCCCAGCCTCCCAAGTAGCTGGGACCACAGGCGCCCGCCACAGTGCCTGGCTATTTTTTGCTTGCAGCCGTCATTGTTGTTTTGGTGGGCCCGGGCTAAATTCGAACTCACCACCTTAGGTGTATGTGGCTGGCGCCTTAGCCACTTGAGCCACAGACGCTGAGCCAGTTATAAAAATTTCAAGTGAAAAGGCAAAGGTGGCTTCCTTGAAACTTCAGTCCCCAGAGTTCATGCCCATTATTTTGGCGGTTTATAGGCTGTTTACTTACTAGTTTGGGCTGTGAAGTTGAGGTGATCAGGTCTGCATGCGTGAGCTGTTGCTGTAATAAATGCAACTGTGAGATGTTACTGTAATAAATGCCACCCAAGCAAAGGAGCCTTGGAATTCACAAGGGTGATAAGGGAAAGGGTGGGAAGGCCCAGTTTGTGTGAGGAAGAGCAGAAAGAAGAGGATTGTCTCTCTTTGCTGAAGATGAAATTTTAACTGCCTGCAGGATCTAGGAAGGGTGGAAAAACCAGAGCCAATAGCTTCTTTCTCTCTCTGGGAAAGTGGTAGGGAAGGGAGATTAGAAGGGAGGAAGCTGTTAATTAACTGCACACCTTCCTCTAGCAACTTGAGCAGGGGAACTCTGCACTTCTTCACCTATCCTTAGGTGAGTAGGGGAGGAAGTTTTAGCAAATTGGAAGATAGTGTCTCCTAAAGAAACTCATTTCCAATTTTCTGACACCAAATTATGGTTTTGAACATTGTTGCAGTACCAGGAAGACCGAAAAAAGAAAAAAGCAACAGAACTACTTTCACCTCCATCAGAATGACAGTAAACACTAGATTTCAGGCATAAAAAATTTTCACCCAGCATAAAGATGCTAATCTGGGAAATATTTGATATTTTGTTTTCCTCATTTCAACTGCAAAATCATGCATATGAATAAGTATTTAAGATTTGGTTATCTCTTGTGAAACTGGTCAAGAAAAGATTTCTAATAAATAATGAATAAATGGAGCTATCTTCAGCTTGTGCCTGCAATCCTAACCCTCAGAGAGGCCCAAGTGAGAAAATCCCTTAAGCTCAGGAGTTTGAGACCTAGTCTCTACTAAAAACAGAAAATTAGCTGGTGATCATTGTGGCAGGTGGCGGTAGTCCCAGCTACTTGGGAGGCTAAGGCAGGAGGATTGCTTCAACCCAGGAATCTGAGATTGCTGTAAGCTAGGCTGACACCATGGCACTCTAGACTGGGCAACAGAGTAAGATTCTTGGGGGGTAGAGTGGGAGGGAGAATAAATGAATTAGTGAAGAAATTACATCCCTTCCTAGGCACATATATTAAATGTCAAATGCCTAAATGAGAAAATTAAGGAATTCAGTTCAGTTCTCCTTAAATGCAGGAGTAACTGACTAGAGGTCTTGATATGATACCTTGTGAAGATATTACTCCTTTACCATGATGGTTGAGAATATACAAACTTTAAAGGATGAGTAATTGAGTAATTCAGCAAATAGCAGAGGTATGGGACTGTGGGCTAAGGCCTGAGGCCTGCCAGGTCCTTAGGGCATCATAACTGAGTATGTCACCCCTTCCCAACCTAGGTGCTACTTCAGCTGGAGGGAGGCCTCTTCCCTGTTGTGTACATGGCTAACTGTGTACTGGACTCTGGTTCCTCCCCTCACATTCTCTAACAGAGGTTCCATAAGCGGATTAGGCCCTGCAAATGATTTGCATGAGTATTTTCTTGATTTCCAAAATGATAGCATATAACTAGTAATATTTTAGGTGCATAGAAAGAAGTTATTAAATAATTTATGGCATACAGTGGATGCCTTGTGGCACAGAGGGTGCTGGCTACCAACTGTTTATCCTCCATGTGGCCTCTCATAATTCAGTAATCTGGCTTGAGAGTCTTTACATGAGGCAAAGCAGAACCTACTAGACTTCTTAAGGCCTAGACCCAGACCTGGCACAGCATCACCTTCACTACATTCTTTTGGTCAAAGCAAGTCACATGATTCAAGAGAAGAAGAAATAGACTCCAACTCTTGATGGGAGAACACCATGCCTCGGTAGCTCACACTTGTGATCCTAGCGCTCTAAGAGGCCAAGGTAGGTAAATTGCCAGAACTCAGGAGTTTGAGGCCAGCCTGAGCCAAGAGCAAGACCCTGTCTCTACTAAAAATAGAAAAACTAGCCAGGTGTGTGGCAGGCGTCTGTAGTCCTAGCTACTCGGGAATTTGAGGCAAGAGGATTGCTCAAACCCAAGAGTTTGAGGTCGCTGTGAGCTATGATGCAATGACACTTTACCCAGAGTGACAGAGAAAGTCTCAAAAACATAAAAGAAGAACGCCATACCCATACAAGATGGGAAAAATTGTTGCCACATCTTTTGCAGATTCCATCACAGAATGTCTTCAATATCTTGTTATCAAAATGAAAACAAATATAAACAAGGGAACCTCGCCTTCATCTTTCCTTAGGGCTTAATGAGACTCTACTCCCATTTCTTCAGTGCCATCCCAGTCCTTAGGTCTCAGGGTTCTGTCATTAGTTAGCTATATGCATATTCATGTGTCCTGTTGTTACCTCTTTGTGATGGATGTACATCCTCTTAGTCCAGCTTATGCTGGACAACCCATATAGCAGTGATTTTCATGGCACGCCTAAGGTCCTTCCATGACACACTGTGTCATTAATTAAATTATTTTCAAATGAAGTTCAAAGCACAGTAAACATATTCTATTTTTTATTCTTTTTTTTTTTGAGACAGAGTCTCACTTTCTTGTCCTCAGTAGAGTGCTGCTGTGGCGTCATAGCTCACAGCAATCTCAAACTCTTGGGCTTAAGCGATCCTCTTGCCTCATCCTCCCAAGTAGCTGGGACTATAGGTGCCTGCCACATGCCCTGCAATTTTTTTTTTTAAAGGGACAAAGTCTCACTCTTACTCAGGCTGGTCTCAAACTCCTGAGGTCAAGCAATCCACTCACCTCATTCTCCCAGAGTGCTGGGATTACAGGTGTGCTACCATGTCCGGCTTTTACTCTCTCTCTTTTTTTTTGATCAACATAATTTAAGTGTGCCATGGAAGTTTATAGATTGAAGTGTGCCGCGAGATAAAAAAGGTTGAAAAACACTGCCGTAGAGGAAGAAAGCAAGTCATTTTCAGTATCTTTTTCTAGCACCTAGCACTATATAGAGTTGAATTCAGTTCTCGTATAGATTGTCTTAGGGGAAATGACAGCATTAGAAACCTCTGTGAATAAGAATGTAGATATGGGAAGAGAAAGAGGAGTCTTAGTTTGTTGAGTGTCTGTACCGTCGGGCTGAAGGATTCCAGCTTTCAAGAATAAATGTTTCATAGAAAGGCTCAGACAGATGGGCACTCATGGACTGAGGATCCACACATTTATTTAGATTAGTCCAAACCAGACATTGTACTGCAGCTCCTTATGAACACAGTCTTGCCACGGTCTGGCTTCCTGGAGGCACTGAAAAGAGAGAGTATATTGTAGCCATTACAGCAAAAGCACATCTAGGATGCTGAGGCTTGGGTCCTGTGCTATGAATGCGCTATTTACCCTGTTTCTTTGCTGGGCGCGGCTGTGAGAGAGGAAAAAGGGCAGCTAATACTAACACCACATAATGTGTTCTGTTATGCTGAGGGATGGAGACAGAACTGTCTCTGCAAACCAACTGACAGGCAGAGCTGTATTTTTAATGCATCCCTCAGGGTTTTCATTTGCTATGTATTAATGATAGGCTTAAGTAAATGGCTTGTGGGATCGAATTCATTGCAGCCAGGAGCTGCAAGTCAGCAGAAACATTGGGAACTACTTCCCTTTATTTATTTTATTTATTTATTTTTGTTGCAGTTTTTTTTTTGGCCAGGGCTGTGCTCAAACCCATCACCCTTGGCATATGGAGTCGGCGTCCTACTCCTTGAGCCACAGGCACCGCCCAGGAATTACTTCCCTTTAATTCTCTAATAAGCTGCTTTCCCCACCTTTCCCCCCACCTACTCAGCAGTTTATAGATATTTCAACTGTAAATGATTAAAAATCTAAAGGATCTATCAAATTGTAAATGATGATCAGAGTTGCCCTTTGCCAACACTGTACTGCTTGGGACCACATTCTCAAATGTTAAATTATTATCAACATACAATAATAAAGCTGATTTTTTTTTTCTTGGAAGGGAAGGAATCCATAAACTTTAATGTAAAAGATAAAAACAAAAATCTTAATCTACTTCTTACCATACTTATGGTACTGAAGTAGAAATACTAACTGTCAGGGGCGGCTAACCCAGCTACCATGTGGTGGTACTGGTGGTGACTCTTGTTAATTCCTCTGCTCTTGATTGTTCCTTTGAGAGCTGACCAGGTCTCTCTCTCAGAACTCCCTTATGATTAGGTATATGCTGTCACTCTTCTTCAGAGGACCATCAACTTGAGGAGTACAGACATTTAGAGGACAAGATGTCTGTACATCATAGATATGATGTCTGTACCATCGATAAAGTGGTAAGTTTATGGTAAATTTATCTATGCTAAATTCCTTCCACAAGGATGACAGTATTAGATTTCTTTTTTAAAACGTGATCACCAGTGGGTACATGATTGAAAGAATCAGGAATACATTTCTGTCCCTGACTGGACACCATAATCCATAAACATGAAATAAGCCATTAAGGTTCCGTGTCTCTCTCCCCTTACCTTTCTCGGAGTGCCATTCCTCCTCTTAGCTATCCTCAATAAGGAACTGCAAGAATTCAGACATTTCTCGGTGTTAACATCTCAGAAATCTCTAGGAAATCTTTCAGAGCATTGGTAGGGGATACTACTTTTTTTTTCTTTTTAAAAAAATTGTATTTCCTTTTTGGGGGTTCATCCGTAAAGGAGAATAGGATGTAGAAGGGCCCATCCATTCTGATTAATGCAACAAACATTTAGAGAGTGCTCACTGTGTGAGACACTGAGGGGACAAAGGTGGAAAAGACACTGTCCCTGTCCTCACAGTGCTTTTACTTTAATAGAGAAATAGATCTATAAATAGATCATTATAAAAAAATATGCTGGACACAGGGACAGAGATCTGAACAAGGTGACAGGCACGAATAAGTGAAATAAATACATTAAAGAGGCAGAGATGTGAAATGTTACCTTTAAACAAACCAGAGGGAAAAGTAAAATCAAGCCAACAAATGGCTGCAGCTTTTCTAAATCGAGTCAGAAGATGGTGTAGTTTAAAGAACAATGATCTGAGTGAGGACCAGAAGGCTTGGGCTCTTGCAACCATAGTGCCAGTTTTTTGATTAACCAACAATGGATATCTTAGGTAAACCAGTTCCCTCCCTATGTTTCAGGTTTCTCCCTTTGCAAAACAGAAATAAAGACTTTTCCTGTGTTGCAGAATTGTGGTGGAGAGGCATGAGATAGTGGGCAGTAAAAAGGCATTCTGATGGTGACAGTGAGAAGGCCTGGAGGGAGAAGTCCTTCCCCACCTAGGCTTGCCATCTCTGGCCCTGGACTTTGCCACCTGTGGAGAGAGGAGATGATTGGCTCCCTAAGGCACCAGTTCTCCTTCTGGCCTTACCTTTCACATCCACTCGACACTCCACAGATGCCTCCCCCAGGGGATTAACTGCCTTGCAGGTATAGATGCCTCCATCAAAGGGACCAGGCTTGCGGATTTCCAGGGAGCAGATGCCCAGGTAAGTTAGAGCTCTGTACTTGGGGTCGCCTTGGATATCCATCTTGTTCTTCATCCAGATGATCTTGGGCTGGAAGATAAAGATGAGGGGACAGTAAGGATGTAGAGGGTCAGAACCAGTTGCTATTTCTGTGTTCAGTCATAGGGGTTCTGCCTGTAAGACTTATAGATACTGGCTTTCTGATGGCTCCCTATTTTTTATGCTGTGGGAAGGGATTCTCCTTCCAGGAACTTCAACGGTCCTCCAAGTTCCTTCTCTTTGTTGAAAAGAGCACCTGAAATCTTGCCTTCTTCACCAAGTATTGCTAACAAACAGGTGATAATTTCTATTCTACACCATCAGGCTCCCTGCACAGGTCATAAGCACTATGTGCATTGGCCTCCTTTTTTTTATGCATGCATCATGAAGCGTTCATATCTTATCCTCACTGTTGACCTGTAGGTTGATCCTGTCTTCACTGGTTAGGAAATAGTTTTCAGAGCAGGCTATTGATATTCTCCTTCTGAGATGCAGTCTCCACAGAGTCTGCTCCAGGCTCATAACCCAAAAGGTACTTGGTGGTTACAAGGTACAAAGGTTGTTATTGGTGTTTTATGTCATGTGTGGAGTATAATGTCTAGATTCTAAATAGAGAGGTTTGGTCAAGGTTGTGGCCAAAGTCTAAACTCAAGACAGCTTGCATGTGCATGGCCCTGATCAGTGAAGTCAGGAGAGGTGAATAGGACAAACCAGTGCGACTCCACCTCTCCTACCAATGAACAACTTGAAGCTCATGCCTAACTGCCAGCTGGTCAGTAAGTGACATCCTTGTATATGAGGAAAAACACTAAAGGGAAATATTCTGATGAGTCTTGGACTCTTAAGTACCCTGACTATTCATAAATAGCATGTTGTTGAAAAGTCTGATGGTAGTGGGAATAGATATAATATTAGAGTGCTCTGTGCCACAGCTCAAGACAGGAGCAGGAAGCAGCTTAGATAGCCATCCTGGTTCAGTGCCTGTGGCTCAAGTGGCTAAGGCGCCAGCCACATACACCTAAGGTGGCGGGTTTGAATCCAGCCCAGGCCCGCCAAACAACAATGATGGCTGCAACCAAAAATTAGCCGGGTGTTGTGGTGGGCACCTGTAGTCCCAGCTACTTGGGAGGCAGAGGCAGGAGAATCGCTTGAGCCCAGGAGTTGGAGGTTTCTGTGAGCTGTGATGCCACAGCACTCTACCCAGGGGGACAGAATGAGGCTCTGTCTCAAAAAAAAAAAAAAAGATAGCCATCCCCAGACTCCCCACTTACCCGAGGGGAAGCACGGACACAGCAGAAGAGCTGGGTATCATAGCCAGTGACTGTAGTACAATCTGCCAGAGGCTGGGTAAACTTTGGGGCTTCAGAGAAGTCTCGCTGGGGAAACCCCTTGGTCTTGTAAATAGTAGCTGAAGGCACCAAGAGAGGCCATGATGTAGAGTCTGAGAACCCCATCCCTCTTCAACTCTTCATCCTTAAGTTTTCCTAGCTTGTGATCCCTTACCTGCTTTTTGGATATGGGCAAGCTCAGCAGTGATGGGGGCTGTTTCACTGAGTCCACACTGGTTTTCAGCAAAGACACGAAAGGCATAGGAGTTGCCAACGATGAGGTCAGAGACGATGCAGCTGGTGCGGTGATAACGCTCCAGCACCGTGAACCACAGCTGCAGAGGCCCAAGGATGTGCCATTAATGAGATGCCTGTTTTGTGAACTCAGCCCACGTGGAGCTGCCAGAGCTCCCCATTCCAGAAAGCCCTATGCCTCCAGCCCTCCTTCCCAGCAGCGCCTCACCCCCGACTTTGTGTCAGCCTTCTGCACCGTGTATCCCAGGAGGGCTGTATTGCCTGTATCTTGGGGAGGTGTCCATTCCAGTGTAGCACTGAAGCCCCAAACGTCCACCAACTTAATGCTCTGAGGAGGGCCTGGTCTTTCTGAAAGAGTAAAGCAGGGCAGTGGGTACAGTGACTGCATTGAAATCACTTTAGGAGTGCCCTGGGTCATTTTTCTTCTCAGCTACTTCTCCCATGCCCACCCTGTGTTCCAGACTTAATGTGGGGGGCCTCACCCCAGTTTCCCCAGCTCTCTGAGATGGCTCCTTTTCAGCCTGGAGAAGGAGCTCCTGAGGACCACCCATCTTCCACTGCCGCCCACATACCGATCACCAGGATGTCAACAGTAGTAGTGGCCTCCAGCTCGCCCAGCTGTACTCGGAGTTGGTATCGACCTGAGTCCGCACGTTGGGCTTCTCTGATGAAGAGGATGGAGTCTCGCTCCCCATTCCGCACGCTCACTCTACTGGTGTCCAAGGCACATCCATCATGTGTCCAGATGGCCTGAGGTTTGGGCTTGCCCTGAGGAATGGGGATAAGACTTGAACAGTCCCAAGAGGCTTCTCAACCCTCTCTTCCATGGGGGGAGTCAGACCCACCCCAGGGTAACAAGGGTGACTTGACTTGCAGCTGCACATTCCCTTGAGTTAGAAGTTGATGGGCTCTCCCAGGGAACTGCTTTCTTTCAGCCATGGCCTAAGGATCTGGGAAAAGGGGATGGCTTTGAGTCTCCCACCCTTGGAGAGTTTAGGTCATGGACACCCAGGGCAGCTAAGACCAACTGAATAGCCACTCAAACTCCCAAGAGCCTTCAAACTGAGAACTCCCCACACTCCCAGATCTCTAAAGACTGAAGGTCAAGGATTAGTCTCTCACCTCATCTCTTGGGACACACCCCACCATACCAAACTTATCCTTAATAGTGTGGAGTGGATGGGTCGCTAGGACTGAGACCTCTGGGGATGTGGCCCCTTCCAATCAAGAACAGGAAGACTGCTCCTCTGCTAGCAGGACTCTTGGCATCTTATTTCCAAATAAGGACTCTTGTCCTTATTTCCAAATAAAAAACCTGGCGTGGCCCCAGACACAGACCCAGCATGGGGCTGGGATGATCACCTGGAATGGGATTAGTAGGTTCACTGTGTCCCCAACCTTTCGGATGTAGGTCTGCCTCAGGGCCCGAGGTAGCCAGATCTTGGGGTGCTCTGTGTGATGAAAAGAGAGAGAACAGGTGACAGATACTCAGAGGAAGTGAATACTACATCCAGCTGCACGCTGTGGATGGGCAGCCCAGGCATTGTTCACCAAATTTCACCCTTATCTTAGGAAATGGAAGATTGCTCCTATCAATCATCTTACTGGGATTCAGGGATGAGCAACTTGCTGAAAGACCCCCCCGAGCAGTGATTTTCAACCAGTATGCTGTGAAAAAATTTAAAGGTTATTAATTAAAATTATTTTCAAAAGAAGTTCAAAGCACAGGAAGTATATTCTTTCTTTTTACTCTTTTTTTTGATCAACATAATTTTTTTTTTTTTTT